GATTTAAACTCTTGCGCACATAGACGGTGCCTCAGTCAGCCCATCATCCAATCACGTTACTGCTTAGGTTAGCCCAAGGCTCCACTTAAAAATGCCTAAAGACTGCTTGATGACCACTGATGATCGGCGCTGCACTGAATAGCTGTTTGCGATTGCTTTGGCTGGTAGCAGATTGATATGGTCGCCTTTGATTAATGTGTAAACCAATTTGTCTGCAAAAACTTGCTAAATGCACGCTAAGTGGTAGTGACACTGTGAAGAGTGGAACCCAAACGGGCAACAGTTATTGCTCAGGGGGTCGTCAACCACTCACTAGGCTGATCTTCACGCCTGACGTTTTCAGATAGTTAACTTAATTGTTTGCCCAATTAATTTAAGCTAATTACAAGATAAATGTATGTTTATATTGATGTCTTTCAGATTATGAAGAGGAATCTAAACAATGTGAAGAGAATGACATCCCATCCCATATATCAGTACTGTGAGTGCTACTTTGAGAGGATTCACCAGTATACATGTTTACCATGTATAAGTAAATTATATAGCTTCTCCTGCTTTGTATTCCTGTTCTTTTCCCACCATCTCTCTCCCTTTCTTTTCCTGGTTTGTGTGTGTGTGGGGCTGTGTATCAGACATGACTGGGGCTCAGGATGGTAGCGTGAGGATGTTTGAATGGAACAGACCTCAGCAACTCATTTGCTTCAGACAAGCAGGCAACGCTCGAGTCACCCGTCTCTATTTCAACTCCCAGGGCAACAAGGTACACACACAAAGTAGCAACTGTGTTTTGTGTGTACGGTGCCATTGTTCTGATTCCTCTGAAACATTCTTGTAGTGTGGAGTCGCCGATGGAGAGGGCTTCCTCAGTCTCTGGCAGGTTAACCAGACATCGTCCAACCCTAAACCGTACCTGGTAAGGTTCCCTCCCACCTCCTTATTCACAGTCGCAGCACACACACAATATGAGTGGTCTGTATAATTCAAATGAAAATGTGCTTTTATTTTCCTGTTCTTGCTCTCAGAGTTGGCAATGCCACACTAAGACCTGCGGGGATTTTGCTTTCATCACATCCTCCAGTCTCATCGCCACGGCCGGACAGTCCAATGATAACAGGTCAGATTTGGACGACTAATCAAACACTGCTCTCTTTCTTTTTGTTTATTTTTTCCAGCTGCATAATATTTTGCTTTATGTTATTTATAGAAATGTTTGCCTGTGGGACACTCTGATTTCACCTAACAATACTATGGTGCATGGTGAGAAATCCATATTTATTCTAATAAGTGAGTTTCAGTGATTTTCTTTTTCCCTATATTTCAAGTTTATCCACTTTTACTTCCTACCTCCCCCTTCAGCTTTTCCCTGCCATGAGAACGGGGCCACTGTGCTTCAGTATGCTCCTAAACAGCAGCTGCTGATTACTGGAGGCAGAAAAGGCTTTGTGTGTGTGTTTGACATCCGACAGCGGCAGCTGCTCCACACTTTCCAGGCCCATGATTCAGCCATCAAGGCCCTCGCATTGGATGCCTTTGAGGACTTCTTCGTCACTGGCTCTGCAGAGGGCAACATGAAGGTGACGCATGCTCTTTCTCTCACTCACTTCCTTGCTGATACACGCTCACATTGTGTGCTGAGGAATAATATCCTTTTGTGTCAGTGAATGTTATTAAACATAAGCACTGTGTAAAGCATTCAGCATCAAAACTACTGAGAATTCTTTTATATTCATTCCAAGTTTGTTTTTTTTATCCATAAACTGGAGGAGTATTTGGTGCAGCTCTCTAGCCTTCAAACAACACTTTTGTCCCTGGATTTAAGATTCCAGGTCTAGTTTTTCAGGCTTTGCTGTTGTGGTTTGTTTATTAAGTATTCCAGTATAAGGTGATGAGATCAAAGACTTAAAACACAGAGGTGATACGGTCCAAAGGTCAACACTGCACTGCCGGGATGACTGCGTTCTTGTTATAGATGTTATAAGCAGGAACAAGAAAATGTTAAAGGCAAAAGATTTAGAGAAGTGAGTCTTTCATGCTGCTTTTAATCAACTCAGATTCTTTAATCTTTTAATGTAAACTCAGACTGATTTGATGATAAAGCCTCTGTGGGTGCCATACTGTCTGCTGCAGGAAGCCTTGTTCTTCTTGTCACTAAAAATAGTTTGTTATGACTTTGGCTGAACTAACTAAAACACAGACTACTGTATGTTATATATTCAAATCTGACTTCGGATTTATCAGTGACAGTCAAAGCAGCAGTGTGTTAATGTTTGGCACAATCACATGGAGTACTGGTTGAAATTACTGTCCTGAAATATTTGAGAATTATTTTTATTACTGATAAATGTGTTCTCTGTATTCTGACTTAGTTGATTGGCTAATAAAAATTGCTGTGATCACCTGTAGTTTTCATGGAAGACACCAACTTGTCTGGAAATACTCACCATTTACTCTACATGTTGTGAAATGTAAAAACATTTAAGGAAACCAGAAATTAAAGCTGTTCACCTTCAAAGTAAAATTTGTGCCTGATCACTGTAACTAACACATTTGAAAGGGTGCAGACGGTGTCTGTTTTTTGTTTGCATCAGACTTTCAATCATTTCACTTCTGCTTGGCGAGTGTTTACAGACAAGTCAAGGTATGCAAACTACCGGCAACTGCGTCAACCTGCTAGAAACAAAAGCAAACACAGATTAGCACTCTATACCCATGTCCAACCTCTTTCTCTTTTCCTGCTACTGCCATCAACCTCCAGCAACCACCTTTTTGGGATCCTTAAAGCACATTTGTCTCTTTGTAGAAACAACATGGAAAAATGCTAATTGATCACAAATGCCAAACAAGTGGTGTCCCCAGCCAAATAGTTTTTAATTTCTCCAGTTTCATTATTTAAAAAATGATCTGTTTGGGTTTGTTTGTTTTTTTTCCATCCAGAAAACCCTGGGAAGAGAAACTAATTATATACTCTGTTCTCGCTCTCTCTTCCTTTGTACCCAGGTGTGGAAGCTAGCCGGCCACGGGCTCATGCACTCTTTTAGCATAGAGCACGCCAAGCAGTCCATCTTCCGGAACATCGGCGCAGGTGTCATGCAGGTGGAGACGCGACCCGGAAACCGAATCTTCACCTGCGGAGCAGACGGCACCCTAAAGATGAGGGTCCTCCCAGACCGCTACAATATCCCCAGCAGCTTGGTTGACGCCCTGTAATGCTTTTTGTAATTCTGAGGGTCCTAAGAGGAAAGGGTCAGAAAGTGGAGGAAAAAACCGAAATGCTTCTGTAACACTCTGTAGGCATTAATAGAAACGCTGCTGGGGGAAGAGTTAGTCAAAAGATTACCACGCTGTTGGCAACTTTCAGCATGAACGGTGTTCATGAGTTTACTGTTGGCCGTATCCAGAACGATTAAAAACGGAGCTGCAAACATTTTATTTTCCCAAAGGCTGAAAACAAAGTTACAAGCAAATGGTATCATACTTGATTTTAAAGCTAGTTTTATTGTAATTTTATCGAAGAATCTCTACTCTTAGAGTGTGTCCATAGGGAAGCTATGCATGTCCTGTTCTCGTTATGCGGTGCAATCACAGGTCTATTGATAGTGCTCTGTAAAAGTGCTCAAGCAAAAATTTTAAAAGTGTGTAACTGTCGTCATTTTGTGCCCACAGCTGAAATCTCTTAGCATCTACTGTAACCAGCACCGTGGTTTGTTATTAAGTCAGTGGTTTCCAGTGTGAATCGAGTTGTTGGAATCTGCATTTTGTTTCGATGGTTTTTGCCCCCCACCCTCCTGCCTTTTATTTGCCCAGCTTTCTCAGCTCCGTGGAAGAGTTGATGGTGCATTTGGTCCTGATAGTGACACCTGTCTGTATCCCCCCCCCTTCTCTTTTTCCACTGGCTGCCCATCACTCACTTGGCCTATAATGGTTTGGGTTCAGCCCGCTCCAGTTTGGCCCTCTGCGTGCGTGTTCACTCTGCTGTGTCTGCCATCTGTACGTCTGCGCGCCCACCTGCCCTCAAATGCCTGTTTGTGCGGCAGACTCACTGCTAGAACATTCCTGTTTGGAAGACGGTGTGTTTTACTCCTGTGACTGTGATTTCAGTGTTTCCATCTGTCTGGTACAACGCTAAAGATCCACCCACCCACTCACCCCAGAGCAGAAACACAAAGGTTCACTTCTGGTTTTATCACAAAGATTTTATTTTATTTGTTTGTTTTTTTTAATTGAGTTGATTTTCTTATTTAAGTTATTTATGTTTGTGTTCATTTGGTTGACCATTCCTTTCTAAAACGATTTATCTTATTGCCTTTTATTTTAGGAATGTAAGGGGTTTTACTGTAATCTGACTGGGAGATGTGCAACAGTCTGCTGTATGTAAGTGTGTTTACCTCACTAGTTGTTTTTACTGTTTCATCCATAAGGAATAGATATTTGCACTCAAATTCTGGAGACACTAAAAGTTTATTTCAAATAAATAGGTTATTAAAGAGGAAACGATTATATACAAATGAATGTCTGGCTTTATTTGGCCTACTAGTACAACATTTAGTTGTACTAGTAGACTATAGAAAACTATAGAAATAGTTTTATTATATAAATATATATATATATGAACTATCACAACAACCTTGTACAAACATGAAGGCATTTCTTTATTTTTGGTTTGTATCATACCAGTTGGATTAGTTGTAACTTTTGTTAAGTGTATGTATGGTATTTATTAAAGAGATTTGTGTTTCTCTCCCTCTCTTTCTGCCCTCTGTGTGTACTGTATGCATCTTAAGTGTTTCCCCAATGGTCCCACTGGTGTCGCGTGTGTGTGTGTGTGCGCGCGTGCGTGTGTGCGCATTCATGTGCGTACGTGCACATCAAACAGTCGAAAAGAAGCCGTTATTATGAGTAGAGGCCTATTAGGGTACTTGAGCCTGAAGGTGTGTAAGAGAACAGGTCATGGTCAGTTTTACCTTTTGTAAAGTGAATAAATTCTTTTTATTTCATCAGGATGATTTGGCGCTTTTTTTTCCTCCTTTTTTTTAATTTTAATTTTTATTATCCTTTGCAGCCAGACAGCTGTGCTGCTTCCTTACAAAGGCAGGTTTGTCTATATGTACAAAAAGAGGGGGAAGGGACATCACGAGTTACATCTGTATAAAAATCAAGCAGTGGTGACCCACCATGCAAAAACGCAAATGGCAACAAAAGTTGAGTTATAGGTTTGATTGGCATAAACTGCCAGCTTATACAAAATGATAAGTTTTCACACTATTAGTAAATCTTGTGTCCTTTGAAAACTCCATGTACAGTAAATACAGCACTTCCTTCATCCATCCATTCATACATTTTCTTCTGCGAAAGGATGGACACACCCTGGACAGGTCAGCAGTCGCTGCAGGGCTAACAGATAGTCAGACAAACATTCACACCTATGGGCAATTTATAATTGCCAGTTGAGCTCACCCCACTAACTGGATGTCTTTGGACTGTGGGAGGAAGCTGGACTACACGGGAGAAACATGCAAATTCCATACAGAAAGGCTCTGGCCAGGTGGCGGATTCAAACCCAGGACCTTCTAGCTGTGAGGCAACAGCGCAAACGTCTTGTTAACCAAAACCATATTTACTTTAGTGAAATAGTTTGACGGTCAATTACAATTTCACTTAACACAAAAGTAACACGGGACAATATATTTAAAACAGCGACACACACACTGTATGCCACTCTTGTGTTATCAGTTTTCAGATGCAGTGAATAGATGAAAGTCTGCAGGCGTTTTGCTCTCAGTATTTACTGTAACAGTCGTGTTCGGACATCATGTTTCTCACTCATCAGAGATGAAGTGGACCACATACAGCCTGACGTAGCTGTGGTCCCAAACATACAGGTGTCTGTCCTTTGGGCTGTAGGAGAGCATTGCCAGCACTTCACCAGCAGACCTCAGGTCAAAGGTCACATTGACCGGCTTTCCCTTCAGCAGGTCAAACGCAAAGGTGACTCTGGTGTCTTTGGTGTCGGTGACATACAGGACGCCACAGGCGATGAAGGCGTTGCCGGCTTTGATGCGAGGATAGGTGGTGTTCACGTAGGATGTGACGGAGAAGGTCTTCTGGTCCAGCTGGGCCACCATGATGCTCTCGTCAACATTGGATGCAAAGATCAGCCACAGGCCGTTCTCATCTGCTGCCAGCTTGAAGTAGGTCTTAGAGTTGGGGAGCAGGTAGGCGAGGTTGTTGTACAAAGAGTTTTCAATAGTGAGAGTCTGAAGCCTTTTGGTGCTGAAGTCAAATCTGTGAACACACAAGCAGGAAGCTGCTAAATGAAGGATGCGGAAGTCATAAAAAATCACCTTGATGTGCATCGAGTGGCTTTAAGGCTTACTTGGCAATGCTGGGAGTGCCAGCAGCATGATAATAAAAGAAGCCATTGTGAACGATGTGGCCGCAGCCTTGATAGTACTTTATAACGTCTATGGTGTCGCTGCTGTTCTTCTGGAAGAAGGAAATGCTTTTGTACTCCTTCAGCATGCGACCTGGGGAAGAACAAGCAAAATCTTTACTGCTAAAAGACGTGGAGATTATAAAAGTGGGGACAGGAGCACATGCGCGACACTCTGTAACCAGCCTACCAGAAAAGTGATCCGCCACCCATATTCGCTCATCGTTCAGCTGAGCGGTGTCCTTCATCCATGTGCCAAATGTGGTTTTCATCTTTGTCACATTTCTGGGGTTGATCAGAGACTTAATCAGGCAGTCTGTGGGGAAAAACAAAAAATCTCAGGGGATTTACTCACAGGTCACATGACTGCACATGAACACAGCCTCCTGTGGAAACGTACCGTTCCTTTTGGCAGTCTTCTCGTGTACTTTTTCTGTCTCCTTTACAGGTGAGGTTTCATCATTTGGAATGGCATGTAGCCCTGTTAGAAGCAGTTTCATCCTGTTTTAGTCATGTCATTGATGGACTAGTTTGTCAGAAGGTTTCAATTAGACACTTTATGGGGAGGGGGGGGGTCTTTGAATTTAAAAAAAGAGAGAGAATTTGAACCTTCTTCCCGAGAGCTTTGATTGCATTGAAAATTATTTTGTCAACAACTGTTTTTAGGAACACAAATGTCACCTGCAAACTATGACTGATCTCTCACCCTGATTATGAGAAGCTTGGAGGTGAGCTCTGCGGTGCCCTACTCTGGGAGGCCCCTGAGGCCCCGGCGGGCCAGGAGGACCCATAGGCCCAGGTGGTCCTGGAGGCCCAGGTGGACCTGCTCAAATGGAGAGAATGTCTAAATGTTATCCATTTAAATTTATTTTTATTTCAGGTCATCTGCAAAATGGTTCAAGTCAATAAAGTTCTACTCACCCTCAATAATGGCATCATTGGATGGTTGGATCTTCTCTCCGGGTGGGCCCGGCTCTCCTCGCTCCCCTCTTTCTCCTGGTTCTCCTTTCTCACCTGGTGGCCCTGCGGAGAACACCGTGCAAAATAGCTAGAACATTGTATTCGTAACCTCAATACACTTTGCCCCATTGTTGAAATGAATTGTCCCATTGAATTGCTGGCATGAATCATGCCATCCACTGTGGAGGAGAGCAGAGTGAAGTGGGAGAATACTGGAAGACAGTTTTCCAGTTCATTCAGCTGAAGCCCAAAACCACAGAGATGAATAATATCGGCAAGGGAAGAAAGCTGTTTCAAACTCTTCACTCATTCATGAAGCAAAAATGTGAATAAATTCTGCTTGCATTGTGATACATGGACAGAAAGAAGTCTGTGCGTGTGTGTGTGTGTGTGTGTGTGCATGCCAAGGAGTTTAAGTGGCTGTTTCTTCTTTTTTGCTATTTTAATACTTTTCTCTGCAGGTTATACTCAACCTTTTGACTTTTACATTGTGCCAGTACTTCTATGCTTAAATGGCCAAGATTGCCTGAGGACAAAATAAGGATGGATGCCGAGTGAAAGCACTAATTCCTTACCTTTTCTTCCTCTTTTCCCATCAGCCCCAGGAAGTCCATTCAGTCCTGGGATGCCATCAGTCCCATTGTGTCCAGGCAGGCCATCTGCACCAGGCAAACCTAGAGTAACACAAAAAAATCTTTACTGTGGACTCAACAAAAGAATAAACATTAAAAAAAGACTTATCAAGAATATGGGTCACTAAACCACAAAGGAGACATACCCTACAGCAGGTTTTAAATTTGGATTAGGAATTGTGGGTTGACTTACCCGGCGGACCTGGAGGGCCTGTGAACGAAAGTTTAGAAATGTTAGAGAATTTTTTAAAAGTAATATTCTGAACATGATCACATGATTCATACGAGTAAAACATACCAGCTATGCAGACTCCCCTGGTGCTGTTGCAAATATCAATCAGCACTTTGATCTGAAGTAAAAGAGGAAATAGAAAAAATATTAATGCAGTAAATTTAGCAGCATACTTTACCTGAAATTACTCTATTAAAAATAAAAACCCTGCACCTTTTAACGTGCCAGTTAAAGATTATCTGTGTAGACTTCAGAAACCCCTTCATGTTAAAAGACACCAGCGGCCATTAAGGAAACTGCAGTTAGCATCGTGTTAATTGTGTGGTGTTCACACTCAGTAGGTATGAGTCAGCATTCTGTGCACAGGCCAGAACATGAGCCTGACATACACATTAAACTGACTGATCATTTTGGTAGATGAGAAATGTTACTACAGTCTGAGTATTAATTGTTTTACATTTGACTCTGAGCTTGGTTATTATAGAGAAAAGAGCAAGAGGAGCTAAAATATTGCATGGAGATTAAGAGCTTGTTGATGCTGACCCTAGTTCATGCAAGGCGGGCATCACCTTTTTAAAGTGCAGGTAGAATAACTCTGACTGCTGCACACTTTTGCTCTGTAGGGAAGTGGAGAAAAAGAAGCACTGAGGCAAGGTGCTCTAAAGGAAGATTAAATGTCGCTTTCTTTGGATGTATGGGGTAAATCTAACTCCAGTCTTTTTATATGATAGTCTCTAGAATAGAACATCCAGTTTCTGTTTTGTAGTTCAAAAACTACTGACTAGTTTTACTCGTCTAGGCTTTGATTGCAGAAGGGTAAAGGGTTCATGTTCAGAGCAAAAGGGGACTGCACTGACTGAAGTGCTAGCTTGAAATCTGATTTGCTGTTGTCTCACAGTTGAATTTGTGGCTCTAACTTCATCCATTATGCATCTTGAAATCCGCCAGCTACACATAACGCCCCCAAACCCTTGCCGTTACCCTCTGAGTCATCAGAAGCTAGTTAATGAGTTTCACAGAGTGTTTCCAAAGAAATCAGACTGTTCAATGTTACTGAGAATGTCAGGAATGTTTCCTTTTTTAAGTTACATTAACATTCATTGGCTCAAATTCAGTCATTCACATTGGTTGAAATTCTTTTGTATAGAGCTTTTAAGTCAGTATCTATAGAATAATATTTAAGATATATACATAATTATCTGCGAGGAATATTATTATTATTATTATTATTATTTGATATGTAATAATATTTACTTTGTGGCAGTGACTAGAGTAAGTCATGTTCAATAAGACGAGCATGATTTGAATGCAGAATCTCAGTATGTTAAATAACTACAGTTTTTCTGTGAAATGTAGCTGAGTAGAAGCTTAAAATGGTACAAAATTAAAATTCAAGTGTGTTTACAAAAAAGTAGTTTGATAAATGGAAATATTCTGTTGGAGTTTTATTAGGACATCTAAACTAAAATTCCTGTAATCATATTACCACAAACAGGATCTGGAGCCTTCAGATTGTCAGGCTCCATGAGCGTTACGACTTTCAGCCATTAGTCCAGTGAACCATTAGCGACAGCATTATTAAGCAATCACAAAACAAGGAAGCAGGCTGAGCTGCTCTAAATGTCCTGGCTTGCCTTCTCTCTCTCTCTCTCATTCAAGGATCTAGACTCACCGGGACCATGGAGTATGTCATCATCATCATCATGTCGTCCTGCACCTGCGCCTTGTGGTAGTGCTGGCTGTGCCGCTGCTTGTGCTTCTCGTGCTTCGTCCTCTTCTCGGTTTCCTCTCCGACCTCCTGGCTGGCCTCCTGCTCACTGATCTCCTTTCCCTCCTCCTGGCGAATCTCCTGCAGCTCCTGCTGTAGCTCCTTTTCCTCTTCTTTGCTCCTCTTGTTCCTGGAGTATTGGTACTGATATTGTGGCTGTTCCCCCACGCTCGCCCGCAGCCCTGCTGCTCCTCTGGGCACCTCTTGAAGAAACTCCACCACAGAGCTCTGCTCCACCTCCATCAGCCGTGCCTCTGTCTGCTCCAGCCTGGCACACTGCTGATTCTGCTGGACCAAGAGCACCAGAAGGCCTATAGAGTTCATCAGTGCCACGACACACGTCCCATACAGCACCATCCGCTGAGGGAGAGTCATGCTGGGTGTGGGAATCCACATTGTCACCACTTCACCTCCTCTCTTCTGGGGGTCAACCACTGACCTCAGCATTCAAAGAGAATGAAAGAACAGTGAAACAGCACAGAGGATGTGTTAGCTCTATGACCTCATGGAACAAGGTGCTCCCAACAAAAATCAAAACATCTAAAATTCAAACTAATCCAAGAGACAGGAAGACTTTAGCGGAAATTTAAGCTCCCGTTCAGCTTGTTTGAAATCTCTAAATAAAATCTAGTCAGCTTCAGTATCTGAGCTCAACACTGGTGGTCTGTCTGAAGGCAGACTGGTAAATACAGTGGCTGTTCACCAAGTGGAGATGGGGTTATGTATGTGTGTGAGTGTGTGAGTGTGTGTGTGTGTGTGTGTGTGTGTGTGTACATGCAAACCAGTGATGTAGGAGTGGGCATTACACAATCTTCTGAGCTTGTCTGGGGAGAAACCCCCGCCTGTTCAGTCACCTGATTTATATTCATCTGAACCCATTCTACTGCACCGCCGTGGGCAGACTGACATCTCTCTCTCACACACACACATGCACGCGCACATATATGATGAACACACAAGAGGACTCAAACACATTACAAGAAAGCACGAATACACCAGAAAAAAAACAACTGTTCACTAGTACATTTACATTATTACACAATTACATTATTATTATTATTGTTGTTGTTGTTGTTGTTAGGCCTATATCATTACATATTACCACTATAGCTCCACTGAGTTCTCTCCTTTTCCCCCACCTCCTGTATCCTTGAATTTCTCCCCCCGGCTCTCGTCCTTGTCACATCCTCACAGCTTCCATTCACCAGGCGCAACAATGGCCCATTTCCACAGCTTTGATTTAGAACTGAAAAATGACATTTAACTGGAAAGGTGACAATTCAGCAGAAAAGAAATTAAGGCATTTGAAGCTTTTCTCCCTGCAAAAGGTAGCTGGTACAGCCTGCTTTGGCTTAAACAAAGATGTGACTACCTTAATAGTGCTTTAATGAGTAAGTTAATTGGCATCTGTGGTGTTTTAGAGCACTGCTCACTTCATGTAGCTGACCTACATGCTCTTGCAGCCGCGTTAAAGCCCTTTTACACAAACACACACACATGGGTTCAGCATAGGAGGAGGTAGAGGAAGAAATCAGCCAAGCAACATAGATTCAAGCCCTGAGCTCACCCTGTAGTGTGTGCACTGTGGTCCGAGGGTGTGGGTCACTGATGGCCAGTGGTTGGACAGCTTGAACTGCTCCAGCCAGACATGTACATATGAGTTTTTATTTTATTTTATTTTATTTTATTTTATTTTATTTTATTTTATTTTATTTTTTTTATTTTATTTTATTTTATTTTATTTTATTTTCATTCCAGATATATTTTTTTGCAAAGGCTTATCAATTATTTCATACTAAATCTATATTTTGACATTCCCACCTGTAGCCTTTTCTCCTTCCTAAGCTGCAGCTGCTGGGAAAGCAGCTTTATCTCTGTTCTTCCCACAGGTCCATGTTCGAATTCGGACTCCTGCCCAAGGACAGACAGATGGCCAGCCTTCCTGAAGACTTCATCCATCCTCCCACTTCTTCCTGCTCAGAAATTTAAAATTTATTAGGACTACTACAGAAATAAAAGTGAGGGATTACTTGTACTGCAGGTAAGTCCTCTCATAGTGTCAACAGAAAAGAATAAAGTGGAGTTCAGCGTGTAATGTCAAACAGTAAAGGCAACACTCTCTGTTGCATGTAGCTTGTAATGTGCAGCGGCGGAGCTGGTGGGGAAGGCAAGTTCAGCTTCACAGTGTTATCATATCTCATGACCAACTCTCCAGTGCTGCTTTAAATGTGAATCATGTGATAAATTCCCCAAGGTTGCTCGGGCAGCACAAAGCTGAGAGTCTGCTTTCTTTCGCTGCTGGTCAAAATCATCAGTCTCTCCTTCTGTTCTGTTAGTTTGAAAGTGAAACTTCACCCTCTTTAACTTCTGAGGTTTTACATCAGGACGTGATTAAAAAAATATATATGATTTTAGCAGGCTATTTAAATATAACCTCAGAAGAACAACAACACGTGGTATAAATCAGCACACTCTTTTTTTAAAGCAGTGTTTGAGTTCATTGAGGTTTGAGGACATCTCTCTTTCAGGGAGACTGTTCTAGATGTGCCCGTGATCTTTCAGAGAGAACAGCCTTTCACCTGTGGACAAAACAACTAGCCATACCTTTTCAGTCTATTTCTAATTGTACTGTCTTGAACTTTGATGTTTAAGATGCTAGCTGAGGTTTTCAGTTTTTCTGAGCACTGCACAGTCTGAATTTGCTGGGACGTCCACTCCTGCAATGACTGTGGATGGTGATAAATTATAGGTTGTGTAAATTGTGTGTAACCCTTGTGCAGTATGTAAAGCATTAGAGCTGAAAGAGGGTGTACTTAATTTTTTTATGTTTATCTAAATATGTGATGTAATAATATAATCCTACATATAACACATATTCTGACATTTCAAAAACCTTTTCAACAGCTCGTTTCTGAATAACTCCGTAAACATATACTAGTGATAAAGATGCGGTTGACCACAACTCAAAGCCCAGAGACGAGGTTACGCACACTTCTACTTTTTAGGAGAAACAAAGGGGGCTGTCGCCGCTTAATCATGCAGAACAATCTAGGTCTACGCCATCACACAGGGCATCGTTATCGAGGCAGGGGCACAGCACACAGTCAGTCATTTGAAGTGTGCGCATTCTTGGACTGGAGTGTGGGCGGTGAGTTTGCAGGGTTCTTTATGCAGAATGAGCCAAGGAAACAAAGGCAGGCACAAGAGCAGACAGCATGGGTTATGTTGAGGATTTTTAGAATTTATAATGCTCAGCGGAGAACTGAAAGTGGCTAAAAGTCACAGATAATGTCAATATTCACCGAGTTGTTCCATGTTTTTAGTTCACAGACCAGCTTTAATACTGATGACCTCTTTTTTTTTCTCCACTTTGTTTTCTGGCGAGGAAAATTCTTCCACCAGTCTCTCCATTAGCTACAGCTATCCACTCTTTCTTCAAACTGTCTGGGGGCTGGAGATGAACAGATCAGTCTAGCTTTACTGTAGTACATAGAGCATATCATCTTCATTTATTCATCTGATAAACAAATAAACAAATACAATATGGTATCTGCATTTAACACTGGTATTATGTGTAACTTATTTCCTAGCTTCACTGGATCTGAGAGCAACGCCAAATAAATTAAAACACAGCAAGCCAGGATTAAATGGATAGCATTTTCCTATTTTTTAGACTTTACTGTAATATGATCACATGTGTGAGTACAATATGAATACATAGCAGCTCTGATTAAAACAAATAGCTCTGATTTTGAATGAAAATGTATCACCTAAAATCCAAGTCAGCTTTTGAACATAAATCTAGAATCAATGTAATGAAGAATATAATTCAAATGCAATTACATATGTCAATATTAACATTTAATCCATTCCCTTGTCTCGCTTGTTTAATAAAAACAGATGAAAAATGTGCATTTATTGAAAAGCTGATTTTTAATAGGCAGCTAGAGCAAATAACACTGATGTTCTCAAGTTCTCACAGGCAAAGCAACTTCTTTTAAAGTTTAAAGGAGGTGAAAACCTTCTCATCAACAAAATGCCAAATATGAGCTCATATTTGCCAACATGCAACCGCTGAACTAGGTCCTGTAAACCCAAGGGCACAAGCACAAACCCAATCCCTCAAGGTTGCCACAGTATTGTTTACCTTTTTCCTGCAGTGTTGTGGCTTTTGCATTACCCTGACCTGGCACGTAACCAGCTCAGACCGCCTATAAAAAGGCAGATGTGAGCATTCGGACCCTTCAGGTCTGTGCAGGCTGCTCTACATCATCACCCTTCTCGTGGATCTGATCTCTACTTGTGAACAGGCGATGGGTCCTGTAGGCTTAGACGCCGTGGTGGCAGATCTGTCCGTGACCTCAAATGCCATCCAATCGCATGGAATATCAATGGCAACCAGAACGCTGATACTGCTCGTCTGTCTGCTGTTGGTTGCCTGGAGTCACACGGACAAGAAAATTGCGCCAGGTTGGTTCAGGTTGCTCTAATTAGGAGTTTATTTGTTTTTACAACAGAATGTTGTGAGAGCTGAAATATATTTTCTGCTTTTTTAATACAACAGGTCCTTCTTTCTGTTTGGGTTTGGGCCCACTTCTGTCATATCTGAGATTTATATGGACTGGCATAGGCACAGCCAGCAACTACTACAATAACAAGTATGGAGACATTGTTAGAGTCTGGATCAACGGAGAAGAGACGCTCATACTAAGCAGGTTAGTTGCATTCAATCTGTCAGTGCTGATGCTACCAAACAAGCCAGTCAAGAAGTAAAATGAAAAGCTGCAGTGGATTTTTTGTCATTGTTTTTGTTTTTTTTTTAAACCAGAGCTTCAGCAGTGCACCATGTGCTGAAGAACGGAAACTACAATTCACGATTTGGAAGCATTCAGGGACTCAGCTGCATCGGCATGAACGAGAGAGGCATCATATTCAACAACAACGTAACTCTGTGGAAAAAGATACGCACCTATTTTGCTAAAGGTAAAACTGGAACTCTTTCATGAACTTCAAAACAAAGAAAGTCAGCTATTCAAATGTGATTTTTAAACAGCAAATATTTGTCTAAACTAAATCATAAAACCATCTCATGTTGTCAGCTCTGTCAGGCCCAAATTTGCAGCAGACGGTGGATGTTTGCATCTCTTCCACAAAGGCTCACCTGGACCACCTGGACACCCTGGGACTCGTTGATATCCTCAGTTTGATACGCTGCACCGTGGTGGACATCTCTAACAGACTCTTCCTGAACGTACCTGTCAATGGTGAATAGGATGCATGAATATGTTACTTGCGTTATCATGCAAGCTGTACATAAAGAATTTCTTGTCTCCAGAAGTGGATCAAAAAGATATGGGAACGATTTTAGCATGCTAATATATTTATGTTACCTTGCATCCAGAGAAAGAGCTGCTGCTGAAGATTCTAAAGTATTTTCACACATGGCAGGATGTGCTTATCAAACCTGACATCTACTTCAAGTTCGGCTGGATTCACCACAGGCACAAGACAGCAGCGTGAGTCGCTCAGTCTCATACATAAGCCCACCTTTAGTTTCATCTTTTTAAATATGTGTTATCTGTTATCTCACAGCCAGGAGTTACACGATGCCATTAAACATCTTGTAGATCAAAAGAGGAAAAATATGGAGCAGGCAGATAAGCTGGACGACATCAACTTCACGGCAGAGCTCATATTTGCACAAGTCAGTCTACGAAGTATTCTCCTTCTGCAAATATACTTTCATTTAAAGTAAAACCTTTCCCTTGTGGTACTTGTGTTTTTTCATTTTCAAGCTGTCTCAGCAGTTCCTCTTTGCATGTGAAATGCTGGATTTCTTTTCCGCCTACCAAGTAAGGTCAGACAGCATATTTGCATTCAACTGTGTTTTCAGAACCACGGCGAGCTGTCTGCTGACGATGTGACGCAGTGCGTGCTGGAGATGGTGATCGCAGCTCCGGACACTCTGTCCCTCAGTCTCTTCTTCATGCTTCTGCTCCTCAAACAAAACCCGCACGTGGAGCTGCAGCTGCTACAGGAGATAGACGCTGTTGTGGGTAAGAGGCTGCAGCAGTTAAGAAAAAATGCAATTACAACTGATTTGCTGCACATCAAAGATACATTTTGACACTTGGCACTGTTTCACTCTACACTGACAGCTCTTACTATTACGCTTACACACCCCATTTAAAAGAATAAGTCCAACTATATCACCAAAACCACAAAACCTGGCCACAATAACCTTCATTAACTCAGGAGTATTGCATTTCACTGCATTTGCTCCAGGCTGAAAAACTTGAATTCACAACAGTCTGTTGCTGCTACAGGTGAGAGACAGCTTCAGAACCAGGATCTTCACAAGCTGCAGGTGCTTGAGAGCTTCATCAATGAATCCTTGCGCTTCCACCCAGTGGTGGAATGCACCATGCGTCGAGCCCTGTCTGATGACATCATAGAAGGCTACAGGATACCGAAGGGCACAAACATCATTCTGAACACAGGCCGAATGCACCGCACCGAGTTTTTCCTCAAAGGCAATCAATTTAATCTGGAAAACTTTGAAAAGAATGTGAGTAGTGCTTTCATTGCTTTACTTTTTCTCCTGGTTAGAAAGAGGTGGAACTTGGTTGAAAAAGATGATGTCACACTTATTTGTTCTTGTCTGGCACTTGTTCCAGTTGCACCAGTCAGCAATTAGAAACACGTCAATCAGACTCTTTCAGTCCAGCCTGATGAAGCCACACCCACACAGATCATCTGAGCTTCGTGTTCTTGAAAATACATCTTTCCTTTTACTTTTTTTCTCATCGGTCCTCTTGTTCTGCCTCCAGGTTCCTCGGCGCTACTTTCAGCCGTTCGGTTCAGGCCCTCGCTCGTGCATTGGCAAGCACATCGCCATGCTGATGATGAAATCCATTTTGGTGACACTGCTGTCTCAGTACTCTGTTTGTTGTCACGAGGGCCCGACCCTGGACTGCCTCACACAAACCAACAACCTTTCCCAGCAGCCTGTAGAGGCTGATCATCTCCACATGAGGTTCTTACCCAGGCAGAGAAGCAGCTGTCAAACCCTCCGAGACCCGAACCTTTAGCTGTACCTGTACTTTTGTATACTTAATTTGTATGATCTTATAACGACACAAAGCTAGCCTTTATATTTTGATATACGCAAAGATTGTATTTGTACTCAAACTGTATGCATGATATGAAATGTACATTTAAACCTGCTAACACTGAAATAAATGTAGATTATTGTGTCACAAATGTGTGTTGTCGTCTCATCATTTTGTCTGCATGTCATGCATATTTAGTTCACAGTTTTTTGTTTTTGTATTTTTTTTATTTGACCCCACATTTTTCTCATTCTCCTTTTTTAAATATCTTACACCTAAATTGAACTAATCACACGATTAATAATTTATTAAATGTGGTATAAATGTGCGTTTGTCATTTAAGAACACAGAAAATGAAAAAGGATTTCAAATTTGTCCTTTTATTACAAAAAAACAAAAGCAAAAGCAAAGGCAAAGTCCAATGGAAGCAAAGGGGAATGTAAATACAAGTTATTACACAGAGAATAAGTAGAAGAAAGCGATGCATTCTAAGTCTACTCCAACTCTGAGAAGTAAGTTCATTAAAATTTTTATTGCACATGAAAAAAAGCGAGAGAAAACCAGGCATTTTCCCAGAGTTCCTCTGCACCCACACACTTTAATTCCAAACAATGACACAACAGCTAACTCCCCTACTGTTCTGTGCAAAAGTCTTCAGCGAGCCTTTATTTCTTTAAATATTATTTCTTCCAAAAAGCCAAATTTTTTGTAATTTTTAAAGTGCTCTTGAGGAATAGTTTTCCAGACCTTCTGAAAGTCTTTGAATGCTTTTCTTTGGACACTTCTTTTTCACTCATTGTTCTCTTTTCTTTTGTGAATCTCTGAAAAATGCAAACGATAACACAGTTTGACAGGCATGAAATAGTATTTTTGCACCAACAAGGTGATTCCCAAAGAGCTATAAGGCAAAGACTTGTCATATTTCAGCACGCTGTCAGGCTTGAAAAAAAACCCCAACTATGTACAGCAGATAAACAGTATCAGGAAGTCATGTCGTCACAAACAGTGCCATTTTATAATCCACAGACAACCAATGCAAGTCTGATAACACCAAAGTAACCAGATCTCTTTTGTCTAATTGCAAAACAAGCAAGAGATGATTCACTTACTCCAGTAAACGGTGCATTATGGTGCTTTTCAATAGATCTAACATGTGTGACTTTATGATCTATAAGGCATCGTTAGTCTCGAGATTGTTCTGAGTGGGTGATAAAACTGCCCTTCGACAGCCACAAAAAGAAAAAAAAAGGCATCTCTTGTTGCAATTATGTAACACTAACATTGGTCAGGAGAGGGCGCAGTAACACCTAATACAGTGATTTGATCTTTATCTTCAGCGTCTAGTCTTTTCATTATGTTCAGTTGCTCTGCCTTTGGGCAAAAGTGGCTAATACATTTCATACTGAGATGCTTCAGCTTGTATTGCTTTGCTAGAAGCAATCAACAAACACGCTGAACAATCACTGTTCAATGTTTGAAAGAAAAAGGGCTGAGAAAGAAACTGTGTTCAAACAGGCAGTGTGTGCAGAGTTTCAGCTGCGCAGTGCAGTTTCTGCATGTCAACAGTCAGCTGTGTGTCAGTGATGCAAGAGAGTGACACGATCAAAATAAGAGTATCTGTCTCAGCTTGACTGATGCGACCTCTTGGGGCCTTATGGTGCTGATCACAGTGAGATGGGAGGGTATTAAAGGAAGGGTAGCACGCACACAGCTGCTTGGTAGGCTAATCAGTACCTGCAACAAATCATTTCGGCACCTCTGCAAGAAGCAAAGTCACTGTCTGTGTGACTGTGTGTGTGTTTGTTACTGTAGAGAGACTGTGTCTTTCTCTCTGTAATATTGTTTTCAGTGCGTGTGTGTGTGTGTGTGCATCACAGATCACAGGCTGTTCCTTGCAGGTGTTGTGGGATATAGCAAATGAATCATAATAGTCTCATCAACCCCAATCTCATTTCTGCCCTCGATCAGGATGGAAAACATTTTACATGCAGCCCAGACAGATCTTTATGAGATCTTGCAAATTTGCGAGGAAAAAATATTTCGTCATAATAATCTCCATGACATCTGTGAGCTTAATAACATTAAGAAGAGCTAGAGAGAATTAAGTTATTAAGATGGATGTAAATGAGTGAATACTGACAAACATCAAGCTAAAAATACACTGAAGCTGCGGTTCTTGAGGTTTTTTCACATGCAACCTGCTGCTCATCTGTCAATTTTTTTTCACAGTTCAAAAACCCTTAAGGCGAGCCGTGTTCATCTATCTTAGATTTATGTTAAAAGAGAACAAAGCCTGAACAGACAGATTATCGAGCAGCATGCAAGAATTTAAATTATAATTTAAAATAAAGATCTGTATACATTCAATTTCCAGCAGCTTTTGACAAATGTGTTAACAGCCAGTATAAAGTAGCCTCAGGGTGTAATGGTGTTTTAATTATCACATCCTCATGCACGGGCCTAGTTGAGTCATTGTACATCACCATCAGCAGGAACTGCAAAAACTTTTTTATAGTACTGATAACTTTTAGAGAAATCCCCCCTCAATTGTTTTTCTTTAAGAAGTTATTAAAACTTTTATTTATAGGGTCTATTTTTTACTTCCCTCTTAAGGGTAGCTAGTCTTTAGAAATGAGAATTAGCTCTTAAAAACTAAACAAAACAATAATTAAAGAAATCGGCTACTCTGTGTGTCAAAGGAAATGCAACATGACTCTAAGTCATCAAAGTAAAATATCAAAAAACTGCAATAGCATGACCTTTGACATCTGCACCCATCATAGCAGTGGAGCAGCTCAAGTAGGGTTACAGGAAAGTAAAAGTCAACAACCAAAGCAGATCTATGTTGTTATGGTTTTCTGGCTACTGTACTGGTGATGCTACAGTCACAGTAGGAAAAACAGTGGTTGGAGACGACGACACGCCCAAAACTAGCGTGCTCTGAACATGGGTTGTCGCTGCCTTTGAAATGTTACTTCAAAGGCGGGGACCCGGCCTGTCACCACTCACTGTAAGTTGCTGTCCTCAAAGCAACTGCAAAGAAACAGAGTCAGTCTGCTATAACTTTGCATTTGGATGGGGTCAGGCTGGCAACTACGTGCAATCTGTAATAAAATGGTGATTCACTGTGATAAATCAGGGAAAATCATAAATCTGTTTCCTTTGATCGCAAATCTATTGCTGCGTACATACAAAAACACTGATATTAAACAGAAATTTGCTTACATATAGAGTCCAGCTAGAACCTCGTAGATCTGAAAAAGATCAGAAATAGTGACGGTGTTGCTGCAGGACAGCAATTTTATACAGGAATATAAGCAGAATATGAGCAACCAACAGCTGAGTCAAGTTCTCTATTGCAGAGAGACACACTGTAGACATGTTACACTCATCAGCACACAGATTAACTATGATGTGTTGGCAATCTGTCTGCATTTATAAATTAGATGGCAATTATTTGCAAACCTTCGCCAAACTGTCTGAGAGTAACTGCAGTCAGAGCAGGATTGTTCCACCAGGCAGCTTGTGCAATCCCCTTGTAATAGAAAGTGGTCGTCCAGAGGCCGAACAACTACCACAACTACTTGCTATTGGTCACTGAATGTGAAAAAATTCAGTGCAAACACCAGGGAACCTCTGCTTTTTCCTAGTCACAAAGAGGTTACTCAAGTGTGCTGAGCCATAATGATTCATTCATAAGTTTTTGGTGGCTTTTATTAGCACTAGACACTGTAGTCTATCAAACCTTAGCAGCTCCTACTGTAGTATACCAATGGCATAGTCTAAAATCTCCTTTTAAATTCAATGAACCTGAAATCATGATGTCCCCCATCTTGTTGGCTTGCTTATAGTTGTTGCTATTCCAGCTACAGATGGGCTATGTCATGTTACTGACTGTGGAAGTATAATCTGAAAAAAGCACTAAGGGTGGAGCCAGTGAGTCCCCAAAACACTTTGGTTTGACAGGCCAGATGGGACAGAGATACAGAGATATATACTTCATGAATCTGTCTGTGAAGGTTCTCAGTCATCCAGGTCATCGTAGTCAAAGGAGCTTGCAAAGAAAAGCGTCTGGACTTCTTTAAGTACCTTGAAGACGTTTCACCTCTCATCCGAGAAGCTTCTTCAGTTCTAAGGTCAAATGGTGGAGAGTCCCAGATATAAACCTAGTGGGAGTGACCCCCCACAGAGGGACAAAAGGACCCCCTGATGATCCTCTAATCGCCTGAGCCAAGGTGTGAAACTGGGTGTGGGTCCCAATCAGCCAGAGTTTCGGGTGAGTTCATTGTGAAACCTGGCCCCACCTTATCATGCGAATTCCGGAATTCTGGTGGTGAGCAAACTCTTAGCCGATGGTGCTCCTAGAGAGGAATTAAACTGAATAGATTACAGTTCCAAATGAATCATGCATCACTGAAGAGTCATCATCTCCAGACGTTGTCTATTCCAACAACAGACTTCTTAGCAATAACCAGAAATCTACAGCTAATAGCCAGAGATACTTGACTGTGAACCAAAGTGGCAGGCTGATCAAACAAACAAACCAACTCTGCCATCTCTTAAGCAACAGTAAGCCCTGGAAAAAAAACCCTAATGTGTACCATGAGTGTGGTTGCACGGTAACTATTAAGGCAATAATAGGAGAAAGTAATAAGAGAAAATGTGGCCCCAAAGCAGATGCCTGTTATACCACGCATCTGCTATATCAGTTTGTGATGGCTGTGTGTGTGTGTGTGTGTGTGTCCGTATGAGAAATATTTTTCAAGAAGAATTGAAAAATACTTGTGGTTTCAGATTGTGTCAGCATTGTCTGCTTGAAGCACAAAGATGATCCACAGTAATGTGTTTTGAGATTTTACACTTTGTAACTTTTTTGTGATTTCATTTAGGATGAAATCAGAGCACTTAAATGAAAACATGCATATCGCAAATCCACCACACTGGACTGTATTACACTTGAGCTAACTGTAATCTTATGTTCTTTCTCTTTAGGAAGTCCATGTTTCTTCATTTGTGGTTTTCATTTGTCACATGAGGTACATTTTCCATACCCATCCATTTATTTTAATTCTTCCATGACAGGTTTACAGAGGCAGACAGCCAGACAGCTTTAAAATAAC